TTTTTTTTTTTTTTTTTTTTTTGCAGTTTGGGGGAAGGGGAAGCTGTTGTTTATTCTTTGTAAAGGCGGGGTCCTGCTTTTCTAGGATCTTGAGCCACTGGCCTCCTTTGTAGAAGGAATGGTCATGTACTCTTGTAACTCTTGTGAAACAGACACCCCTGCAGGATTTTCCTCCCGCATGCTTTCCTGCTCAGCACCTCTGTCAGCCTGCCCTGCCAGCCCCACCCTGTTCCAAAGTGCCACTCTCCCGGCTGCTGAAGTAGCTCCCTCATAGTAAATTGGGTAACCCTGAGTGTCCTGGCTGGTTGGGCATGAACACTGCTGGGGGATACATAGAGACACTTCTTGGCACACTTAAAATAGACTGAGAGTATAAGCCGGTCCAAAGGCCATGGTGAATCAGTAGGAAGGCCACTGGGCAGACTTGGTTCTGCTGGGTGTTGCCTTCAGCTCTGTGACTGTAGGTACATAGTGTGGCCTTCCAAGCCTCACCTTCCACTGCTGCAAAATGAGAAGGCTGGATTAGATCATCCTTAAAGCCCTACCCACTTCTTCATCTCAATATAAAAACAGAATTTCTGCATGTCTCTCTATGTCCTCATTCTAGCCATGAGCCGATCCTACTATCCCTAATTTATTTTTAAGAAGAGCAGAGACATTGTTTACAAACAACTTTCTATTTGGTTTCATTTCCTCTTCAGCAGTCAGCCACAATAGACGACATTTGCAGGGACAATGCAATCAGGGAAATGCTTGAGCTAGGTTCTGATCCAAGTGAATCAAGTTTTAAAATCATCAGCGAGTGTCTCCTTTGGGATTTCCACTATTTCCACCTAGGTACACCGAATCCAGATTCCTGCTATTAACAATCATTAGACAGAGGAAAATCACCAAGATCCCATTCAACTTCAGGGCTAACACTGCTCATTTTGGTTTGTTGCCTTTGTGAAGGATAGGAGATCCCCTACCTGTTTCCATGAGGTTATTGGGCCCCAGAAGGGGCCCTGAGTTGTAGAGAGCAGATGGCTGTCCCATCCAACACTCAACTCACACTGAGCAGTGGTGGCATCTGCAGGTGACCTTGTCTGTGTATGCAGCAGAACGGTGTAGAAATCTGTGTTAACCTTGCCCCACACTCGTTGAGGCTGAGGAAGGATGCACAGCACTGCTCTCCAGCCTCGCCACTGTCTTTGCATTCCATCAAGTAGGGGGCAGCTCAGCTCCTCCCCTTTAGCCACCATCCCTGCAGCAAGGGTATAAATGAATGTTCAGGGGTATCTTAGGGCCAGGATGCCTTACATCTTAAAAGGAAAAACAAACACCTCCCCTTGAGGGAAGAACTTACATGTTGCATGTACACGGTTATTATCTCCTGTTATTTTTAGGAGAATTCTTAACTAGCATTTCCACCCAAGGACCTTACATGGGTGTTACATCTGGTCGATGCTGCAGGTCTGAAACTCTGCAACATTTTCCCCCTTCTGGGACCTCACTTGTCAATAGCATCATCCTCCTGGGTAAATTCTCCCAAGCAAACGACTGTGTCTGCAGCTGGCAGCTGATGCATTCAGAAGAACAGAGACGCAAACAAGTCCTCAGAGATCCGTGGAGGGGAAAGAGAGGGAGGGGAAAGAGATACAAGAGAGGGGGAGAAGAAGGCTGGCGTGCCTTGGAGTTGTGTAAGGTCCTACGGAAGGAACGGGATAGGAAGAAACCAGAACATGGAGGGAAAGAGAAAAAAAGAGGGAACAGGAGAGAGTGAATAAAGGAAAACGCAGAGAAGAAAGAAAGGAAAAGAGCAGAGAGCAAAAAGAGAGGCAATGTCTAGTGACTATTTTAGGACTTCCAGTGAGTCTATTTTATTTCCAGTCAACCTAGCGTGCTCCTAGCTCAGCAAGGCCTCCTGGAGGCAACGATCGCTGGGGTTGCTCCCACTACTCTCCACCTGGACTGGCCCCCATCCCTGCTTGCCAGAGGGCTTCACAGTCTGGTAGAACAGAGAGCTCCGGAGCCCACTGGAAGCATTTTTGGATGAAGAGGGCAATGAGGACACAAGGAAAGAAGGAATGACTGTTTCCTCTGTGAAGACAAGACTTCCGGGCTACAAACAGAAAGAGGACTCCAGGGGCCAGCCAGACAGGGTGTGGTGCTGGGAGTCAGGGCTGGACAGGTGGAGGGGAGGGAAAAGGAAAAAAACCTTTTCATCCAGGAACAGGAACCTGCATAGGCAGAGAAAAGAAGGCCGAAGCCCCAGCATGTGTGCAGAACGTCGAAGTCAGTAAGTCTAGAGAGAAGCAAGGTGCAGATGGGGGGCAGAGCTAAGCCATCTGAAGAGCCTGAGCTTCATGCTTTTGTCACCAGGGTGGAGACATCCTGACCTGATGAATGTTGTCAGAATGTGACTCTAGCATCAGCTTGGAAGTGTGAGAGGGGACAGGTGGCCGATTTGAGGTCACGGTCACAGTATAGATCAGATACAAAGGGAGTAGGGTGGGGAGGAGGACCAGTGCAGGTCAGCGGGGAGGCGGCTCTGCAGGACTCCATCAGTGACTGGATATGGGATGAGAGGGAGGGGAGGATGGTTTCCGGGTTTCTGGCTGGGTTGGTGGCTGGGTGGATGGTGGTGCCACGTGGAGAGGT